ACCATTTTATCCTTATTATTATTTTTCTCAAAAAAAATGCACTGGCGAAGGACATTTGCGCCAGCCGTTCATGGCTGGCACAGGAGAAAGGCACCACCCTTTAACGGGTGGCGCACAATTTTCTCGCCTCCCAATCAAGGGAGGCGAGAAGGAATGTTACCCCCAAAATGGGGGTGGCGCACAAATCTGGCGCCACCCCCCTCGGTTTGGCGAGCAAAAATTATTTTTTTTAATTTTTTTTAATTTTTTTCTATTTTTAATTAATTAATTAATTTATTTAATTTAATTTTTTTGGTTATCTATTTGGCGGTTGAACAAATAATTTTAACTTAAATGTTTTGACTTTGTAATAGTATAAATTAAATGACAAAGATGATAAATAATTAATTTGTTTGGTAGTAAATTCATAAGTTTTAGTTTTTATTAAAAGATAATTTTTTGTTTACGTTTAAAAAATTTTACATAACTAATTGATAAATTTTTATAAAACTTTACTACGTAATTAAGCAACATTCTCTAAATATTTAAGTTAAAATTATTTGTTTAACCACCAAATAAATAAATAAAAAAAAAATTAATAAATTAATTAATTAAATAAATACATGAATTAAATAAATTCATTAAACTAATAATTATAATAAATAAAAGAAATTAATTAAATACATAAAAAATAATTAAATTAAAAATAATTAAATAAATAATTGAAAAATAAAAAAAATTAAAAAAATAATTAAGGTGGGTGGCGCGACCCACCCTTTGGTTGGCGAAGCTCGCCATCCAGCACAAATGTGGCGCCCTTCTGGGTGCCACAACTTCGCAATGCGGCGAAGGTTTAAGGGAGGCGAGATTATTTCACGCTACCCCTTAAAGAGGTGGTAAGGGGTGGCTTATTTCTTCCTCGCCTTGTCTTTTTTTTGTAAAAAAAATCCAATGTAATTCTATTTTGTAGGGGTGTGTACGTCTTTTTAGGATGTTCAAATGAAAAAATTAGGGGGCTAAACAGTACAATCCTAATTTAATGGTTACTTGCTCCATCCCTCGGGCTTCCAACACCCATGTAGCTGTGTGATTTGATGTGAAATGATGTGCTACAGTTTGACATTATTAACCTAATTAATAAAATATACAATGATGGACAACTTGTAAAAGAACAATTAAAAATTTGATGTGATAGTGATTTAGCAATATACCCGTTAAAAAAATGACATTATCAACTTAATTTAATAGTAATAGACAACTTGTTAAAATAAAAAAGACAATTGATTAGTTGAGAACAGGAAGAATACCGAGAAGAACCCCCTTCCCCTCATTAGACAACTTGAATCATGGAAAATTGAAACTGTAAAACTCATTTGACAAACAACCCCCTTCCCCTCCCCCCAAAAAAAACTTTCGAAACTAATTCTTTTAGAATGTGGGGTGGGATGGTTGGGCGAGCGCTTAGTGGACTGGGATGGAGAATAGTTATTTTTAGAAGATGGAGGGTTTGATTCTTGTTGGGTTATTTTTTTTAAAGATTCTTTTGACTGTTAGGTTGTGATGGATTATGTTGGAAAGTGATCTAATTCTTTATTTCTAAATTTCAGTATTTGTTTTATCTAGGAAGATAATTTTTTGTTAATTTCTAAATTACTTGTTTGTTTTCTTTTGGAAAAAGAAAAAGAATCCGAAAATTTAAAAGAAAAATAACACAAGATTTTGAAATCTTTACCGCGGAGGTGAGGTAGTATTGTGATTCCCATTATTTATGATTTTAACGTGTGCTCACTCTTTTTTTCCAGAACTCTTTTTTTTTTTTAATCATTTTTTTTCCTTATCATTTTTGAACCATTCAGCAAATTTGTAACCCAAGTAGACAGCAAATTTGTAGTCTACTTGTCTAAATGGTAAAGAAAAGAAGAAAACATGCATATGTCGATGATGGTCTCATTTACTAGTACCCGAGAACTAATTGATCGAGACTAGAATGTCATACTAGAGCACACTTACAGGAAAGCCAATTGTATCGCTGATAGCCTAGTGAGAATCATCGTCTCCGGCTGGGGTCATAAAACAATTGAGGAATCATCACCATTAGTGGAAAGGTATACACTTGACACATAATGTAATAGGGATTTCTTATCCGGACATGAAATTGTTTGATTTTCCTTCGTTAAAAAAGGGTGGGGGGAATTGTCTCTTTCTCCAGCTTTGACAATTTCAATATTGTCCCATTCACATCCAACTTTTGGTGCTTTGGCATAAGGAATTACGTTTTGGTGCTTTCGCAAGTCTACATTTGCAGATAAAAAAAATCCACTGGAAAAGTTTGATGACAAATTACGATATTTTTTCCGTCATAAAATAATTAACATTCAAAGAAAAAATATGATCCAATACCAAAATAACCCATTATCATATTAAAAGTATTTTCTTTTTCCCTTATTTCGGCATCAGGATCCAAAAGCAACCCCATATTTATAACCAGATGCAAGCAATCCAAACCTTTTGCAGATTCCAAGTTCCTATACAGATATGCAAGGGATTTTTTATTTTATTGTTTTCACAATGATTGGATTTATACAAAAGAAAAATAATACACACATGAGTTAATTTGTTCCAACATGTTCAAAAAAATTCAAATCTCATGTCTCCTAAACTACCCATCTTTTCGTCTAGGCATAATTTTGAAGCACAAATTATTACAAATAAGAAATCAATTTGAAATAATTGGAAAAGAAAAATCAAAGTTTTCAATTAATTTGTGTTCTACTTTGATTTTAACATCCAACGTGGAAAGAAAAAAAAAAGAGAAAATTTTATTCTTTGTATTGCTTGACCTCATCGTGAGTCAATTAGAGAATAGATTTAGGTTGTTTAATCAATGAGCGTATTTTAGTAAAAATTATTTTAGATGTTAATTTTTGTTTTAGATAAATCATCACTAAAAAAAAAATTTAAATTGAGTTTTAAAATTTATACTAAAATTAGTACAAATCTTAAAACTCAATATATATATATATATATATTTTTATAGGGAGTAGAAATTTGGTGATATATTTGCAGTATTAAAATTTTAAACAAATGATATTTATTATCTCTATATGTGTGTTTTAATTTGAAAGAAAAAAAAAACCTTAGTTAGATAAGAAACGACAAAAGTAGGGTTGTTAGATTTGAATTTTTTTTTTTTTTGGTTACAATAAAAAGTTATAGTTCTAATACATTCCAGAATGAACTATTTCATCACGTTGCCTTGGGCAAATCACTCAAATTTTACTCTTTGATTTGGTTGGCCCTTTCTTTCTTTCCATTTACTTCTTCTTGTTCCTCAACTAAATACTAGTACGACCAGACTTTGGTCAGAGAATCATCTGAACAAAATGGTGTGCTAATTAATTTTTTATAAATATGATGGTGAGTAAATTTACAGGGATGAACGTGACAAAAATACTTTTTAATAGTAATGCAATTTGGCCGACAAATTATGGACTTTAATTAACATTTTCCGATCTTGTTGACTGTGTACGTTCGGTACTTTCGATATTATTGTCTCATTCACACCCATGCCGACCCGGATCCTTTTCTGACATCCCATGCTCGTCCTAAATTCGCTCTGGCACCGCTTCTTATTATTTTTCTAAATTCAGTTTCAAATTAAATAATTATTTCAGAACGAAAAAAATTAATTTATCATTTTGCATTGTCCAATTTAAGAATTTATTTCTATTTTAGTGGATGTGCAGGTTATAAAATATTTTCAGCATTATTTGTGTAAAATAAAGATTATCAAAAAATATAAAAGTAATCACGTTGAAAAATGCATTTATATATTCTTGCCTAGTCCTAAAAAGTTATCTGGAATTTTTCCAAAAAATATAGTATAAACTAAAACTTCTCAAGTAATCACTATGCACAAGTACTCCACATCCATTGAGAGTGCCTACATTGAACATAGACTTGTATTGAATAAAAAAAAAGTATGAAAGCAACCTGTTGAATTAAAAAAAAAAAAGATATTCTAAGAAAGGAACAAAATCTTTAAAGGAAAATGAAACAGAGAAACATACCAAATTGTTTTGAAACATTTACAGTGATAGAGTTTAAATAGAACAATATTTAACAAATCCACTATAAGATTTAGGATATGAGTAACCTAGGATAATTTAGACTCTATTTGAGCTTTCATTATCAGATTACTTATTTTAAAAAGTTGCGTAGAAAGTTAATATAAAATTATCTTCTACGGTTAAATCTATTTTTATTTTATTTTTTACTTCCAACTTAAGTGAGATTATAATTTCATACTAAATAAGCTATTTTCATCATGTATTAATATCTATAGACTATAAATAAAAATCTAATCTAAATAATAATTTTAAGAGAGAGGAAATACATAGATTGAACTAATAGAACAAAATGTTGTGAGCCGTGTTTTCAAAATCGGACCGGCCCGGGCGGTCTAACCAGTTGGCCCGGGAACCGGAAGCCTCACTTGTCCGATTTTCATAAAAAATCGGATTTTGTATAACCCGGTCAAACTCGGTCAAACCCGAGCAAAATCGCGGTTTGACCGAAAATCGATACCGGTTGAACCGGTTTTTGCATATATTTCTTAAAAAATTAATTTTTAAATATTTTTTTAATATGATTTTAATCAGTTTTCATTGGTTTCGAAGAACGAATTAACTCGTTAACCCGATAAACCCACCAACTCGATCACGCTAACGGTTCACCTTCCGGTCTGGTTTTGAAAACATAGGATGTGAGACGCAAGGAGTATTATTTTCAGCATAGGCTGGTTTAAAATGAATGATTAATTAATTAATTTGGTTAGCTGTATACATGGGGAGATCTGGTGTAGGGATAAACTCACTTCATTAGATAGTTGACTATCTTACAATCTTCATCTTCTTCAGATCAAAATCATCTATATATGCAGAGAGCTGCAGCTAGCTCATCTGGGTTCAATAATCCATATCATCTCAGTCCTCTTCTTTAATTAAAGAAAGGAAAAGAAAATGTCTGCAATTCCAGATGCAGCTGTGACATTTCTACTGGAAAACATAAAGCAAGCAGTATCTTACTATGGGAGCCTGATCGTGAACGCGCAGAGCAACGTTTTGGAGCTGCAACGACAACTGGAGGATCTGAAACGGGTGATGAGCGACTTCTCCAGGTACAATCACGACAGCGATGTCGTGAAAGGCGTGGTCAAGGACATCAAGGACATCATCCACGAAGCCGAGGACGCGGTGGACGTTTTCGTGGTGTACGCGGCTGAGCAGAAAGCGAGGAACTGGATGGAGAAGCTATACCACAAGGCCACCGATTACCCGAAGAAACTCGTGGAAGTCGGGGAATCCATGAACGGGATCAGCAAAAGGATTCAGAAGATTCAACAGGACGGGATCCAGAATGGGATTAAGCTCCTGGATCATCAGGCCATCATCAACCTTTCTCAACCTGATGACACCGCCTCTACCGAGGTACGCTTAATTACCTCATTCCCGAAAATTAACCTCATTCCCGAAATTATTATCCAGTTAGAATCTTTACTTTTAATTCAATTAATAATTTTAAGACGTAAGGAGTATTAATTATCAAGAGTCCCTATACCAAACATTTCTGTTTTATTTTGAATTCAGTTCGATATGTGTCTTCATTGAGTACAATGTATAGAGTATTGTTAGTTAAATTAATTCAGTGTGAACCTTATAGTGTAAGCGAATAAATGAAACCAGAACTAGACGAACAGTTTGAGATTTGGGGTAGAAGAATTTGATCTTGGATTGGAACTCACTGACCGATGAAGTGTTAAATGACCTGAAGTATTTTTTGTAAGTATTTTTTAAAAAATTTTCAATAAAGTATTTTGTATTAACTAAATAGAGAGACTGCAAGTTTTATTAGAAGTTTGGCCTAATGCCGACCTATAGCAATGGTGGGCAAAATAAGTAAGTGGTGGAGGAGTTTTTCTGCAGACATCTCAATATTTTGTGGGGGGAAAATTTTCTCACTACTGTAACATAATTAATACTAGTATAGTATATCTGTCTATGAGATTTTGCATGGTAAATTATTTTATATTCATTGTAAAGGAGGATTACGTAGTGTCTTCCATTTCTTGGTTATCTGGTTTTAACTCTCCCCTCTCTCTCTATTTTTTTTTTTTTTTTCAATTTCAAACTCTCATCTCTCTCTATTCTCTCTATATCTATACTATAATTTAAACATTCTTCTTAAGATACAATGGTCAAAATAATGCCAAGAAATTTTGAACCTTTAATCAATTTTCCAAACGGTTGTTTCACAGGGTGGAGGGAAAAAGGAGCCAGAAGTAGAGCAGGAGAATGTGATTGGTTTTGATGATGCAACCAAAGAAGTGCAAGGACTCTTGACCGAGGGGCCTGAAGAACTGGAAATAGTCACCATAGTTGGAATGTTAGGGCTTGGGAAAACCACACTTGCTACAAAAGTTTTCAAGGACCCAAAGGTTGATTATGAGTTCATGATTCAAAACTTTGTTTATGTTTCGAAAGAATACAAGAAGAAGGAAGTGTTACTCAAGATTTTGGAGTCTGTAACAGATCCCACCGAACATGCGAGTAAGGGAGAAAAAGATTTAGAAAAACTAGTTTGTCAAGAGTTGAGTGGGAAACAATATTTGATCGTGTTAGATGATATTTGGGAACCAGCAGATTGGGATGACTTGAAAGGCGCTTTTCCGAAGAACAACAAGCGGTGTAGAGTTCTAATAACTACTCGCCATAAAACAGTGGCAAAACGCGCAAATCCAAACAAAGATCCTTATGAGTTGCAGTTTTTGCCAATGGACAAGAGTCTAGAGCTTCTGGATTGGAAGATTTTTAAGGGAAACAAGTGCCCACAGCATTTACAAGATTTCGAGACAAAAATTGCAGAAAAATGTGATGGGTTGCCTTTGGCATTAGTGGTTCTTGCTGGTATCCTTGTTAATGATCCAGATAGCGTGGAATTGTGGAGCACTGTGGCAGAGAGTGTAAAAGATTACATTGCCAAAAAAATGACAGAAACTGGCAAGGTGTTAGGGCTTATGTATAAACACTTGCCAAACGAGTTGAAGTTGTGCTTCCTATATCTTGGACTGTTCCGTGAAGATTTTGAGATTCCAGTTTGGAAACTAGTACGTTTATGGATTGCAGAAGGGCTCATTCAGAAGGATGGAGGCCATAATTTAGAATTTGTTGCAGAGAAATTCGTGGAAGAGCTTGTGAGTAGAAACTTGGTGATGGTTGGAAAGAGGAGGTCCAATGGAAAGATTCAAACTTGTCGTATGCATGATACGTTGCGAGATTTTTGTAAGACGGCAGCTGAAGAAGAAAACCTTTTTGAAGAAATCACTGAGAAGAATCTCAATGTGTTTCTGTCAGGGGACCCAACAAAGTTGGACAAATATCGCCGTATCTGCATAAATAACATCAGTGTTAAGGACTATCTCTCCTCAAAAAGCCTATATGGTAAGCATGTTCGTTCTTTCTTAACCTTTGTTGATCAAGAAACACTCTTAGATCTAAAATGTGGACCTCAAATCCCCAAAACCTTCAAACTCCTCAGAGTTTTAGAGGCCGAATCGCTCATCTTCCAACGTTATCCTATTGATATGCCAACCCTCATACTCCTGAAATACCTAGCCATCTCTGTGACCTTTGAAAATCTTCCTGAATCAATGTCTGGCCTGAGGAACCTGGAAACTCTTATAGTACGTACTACAAATAGTCCTAACCTCAGCATAAAATGGGACATATGGAAGAAGATGCCACAATTCAAGCATTTGCACACAAATGCTTCCACCACTTTTCCATCTCCTTCATGTGGACGGGACCAGAACGGAGGTGGAGAAATCCAAACCCTTTCCACCATCTCGCCTGAGAGTTGCAGAGAAGAAGTCTTCAAGCGATCACCTAGACTCCGAAAATTGGGGATCTTCGGGAGAGTAGCTGAACTCTTTGATGCAAATGGTAACTCTGATGTCTTTGGCTATCTAAGTGGCTTGAAACATTTGCAGAATCTCAAGTTACTGAATGATAATGTGGAGCTCAAGTTGAAAAGGCTTCCTATGGAGAGATACTTTCCTCGAATGTTGATGAAGCTAACTCTCCAAAAGACGTTTCTGGAATGGAAAGAGATGTCTATTCTAGGGAAGCTGGAGTTTCTGGAGGTGCTCAAGTTGAAAGAGTTTGCATTTGAAGGAGTGCGTTGGGACACTGAGAAAGACAGTTTTAAGCGCCTCAAACATTTGCACATTGGACGCACTGATTTGGCGTATTGGGCGTGGGAGCCTCAAGGATTCCATTTTCCAGAACTCAGAAGTCTCAAACTGATGGGATGCTATAAGCTTGAGGAGCTGCCAAAAGGCCTGGCTGAAATTCCCAACCTTCAATCTCTAGCCCTTCATTCCACCCATCGTACCGCGTCTGTTAAAGCCAGGATGATTCTGACGATGAAGCTACGATCAGCACCGGAAAAGGGCAGCAAAAACAAAAAGTTTAATCTCTCAATCTATCCTCCAGAATATTGATCACTCCTTTTGGCTGCAACAGGGTAAGTCAATAAAATCTTAATCCATTAACATTTGTCATTGGAATCAAAGTTATGTCTCCATGTCTGCATCTGATGAAGACCACCGTCTGTTTTATGCCTTTTTTCCAGGTTCATCCGTCAAAATCTTTTGGTATACTGGATGCAAGAGATTGATGAAAGAAGCAATGACTCGCGGTCTCGTTCCCCTGCCTCTCAAATACCATTTTATCATCTTCAGTCCTTGTTCCTGAATTTCTGTCTGTTTTTGTCTCCCTGATACGTACTTTTGATAATACTGTCATTTCTGTCCTTTCCACTTGGCTGGGAAAGGGCTGTTACGTTCTGGGTTGATCTGTACTCTCTTTGCTTTGGTTCATGAAATGGATTCATCCTCTCCCCTGTTTTTTGTTTCTTTTCTTTCCTTCTTTTTTGTTTTACGATATCCAAATACAAACTGAATTAAATCATAACATATTGGATAGTGAACCATTAATGCCCAACATCTTGAGTCTCAGAGTACGATAAAATAAAAATAAAGAAAAGAACCTTCCCTTAATTTGCATCTTGCTGGCGAAATCGCGCTGTGTGTTTGGGGATTTAACATAGCACTTTCTTCACCATTTTTTTATTTGGTGACCATTTGCCTAACGTTGTTCCGCGGAATGCTCATGCCCGCATCTGGAAAGCCATCAATTAGAAGTATTAACCTGAAAGTTATACTACTTCTCCCGTCCCTGGAAAATTTATGCCACTATTTCCAATATAAATTTTAAATTACAATGCGTATTTGTTTTTGGGACAGAGAGAGTTTTATATATACAATGTGTAACACAAATCATATTATTTTATAACGAAGGTATGATCCCTTTTGACGGAGTTTATACGACCACAGAAATCTCCAAGTCTCTTGTTGGGAGAGTTTTGCCTCCCAAAAGAGATTTATTTTTGTTTAAATCTGGATTAGTCGGAATAATGACTTTGAACACCGGGTGCGTAATATGAAAAAAAAAAAAATTTCATCGTGCACCCTTGCGTTGACTCCTGAAAAAATGCAAGGAAATTTTGTATGTGTGGATTTTTTTTTTTTTTTAGTGTATGTTTTTAGATGTCTTTTTATATTGGGATGTAAAAAAAGTATTGAGAATGTAAAAAATTTCATTTCTATCCTCAGAGTTTAAAATTTTCAATTTTTTCCTAACTTTACTAAATTATTATGCAATATATGTAGTCCGCCACGACCTCCGGTAAGCAGAATACGATCCAACGTCCACAGCTATGAATATCACAATTCTTACTTGCGAAAAGGCTCCACAAATTCAGTCTTATACTGATTGGATGATCGAAATTTTATTGAGATTCTGACGAATCGATTAAATATATATTCCATCATTTTAAAATGAGTGTCTAGTTTAGACTTTTATTTTTAATATAATTTAAATTAATAGTGAACATTCGAACTGGACAATCATTTTAAAATGGAACGAGTATATATAAGGAGAAACTCAAATTCCATCTGGGGCGTATGATATTCTCTGTGACTATGTGCGTCTGATCAGCATGCCATGAAACAAAGATTAGCTAGTACGAGAGAGGGATCTTAGTGAAAGAGTGATCCAAGGCAAGTTAGTCATGTGAGCAGACAGTACTTGACATTCTATATTCAATCAAGAATCAAATTATTATTATGTAGTACTAGCAGAAGTGTTAATTGTTAAAGATAGACTTGCATCGATTCTTGTTACTCTTGCTCGACTAAACATGTGGTACTGAATTAATTGGAAAAAATGACAAAAGATAGTTGGCGTTCTAACCAATTAATTAGATTAAACATGTGGTACTGAATTAATTGGAAAAAATGACAAAAGATAGTTGGCGTTCTAACCAATTAATTAGATTAAACATGTGGTACTGAATTAATTGGAAAAAATGACAAAAGATAGTTGGCGTTCTAACCAATTAATTAGATTAAACATGTGGTACTGAATTAATTGGAAAAAATGACAAAAGATAGTTGGCGTTCTAACCAATTAATTAGATTAATTGAGAAGAGAATCTTAGGAATTGGGTACGTGGGAATGGTTCTCCTAAGGAAATGATTGTATGAATCCTTAATCAAAAAGAGGTACCAGATTTTTAAAAATATAATTTTAGACGAAATCAAAGTACTTATCGAGGCTGGCGATGGGAATGCATCCATGGCGCACTTTAATGACGACGCTCCTGGATGAGTTGACAATTTCATAGAAGAGACAAATTCGGAGTGGTTAGGATTTAGGACATTCAATTTGAATAATTTTAGAAGTGAGAAATTTTCAGTAATTAGCAACTTTGGATGCCAAAAAATTGTCGTACACTAGTACTAGTTGTATAGTTGGAAAATGTTATAGAAGAAGACAAAAGTTTTTATTTCGAGTTATTATAGTGTAAGCATTGAGTGCACATAGGTAGGTGCACTTAAACGTAAAGACACGCGCGGCCCACCCACTCTTTTTTAGCATATTCCAATTTTTTTTAAAATGAAACACATGCGCCTCAACTCTTTAATTTTAGGAAATAAGTTTCAATTTTTTTCTAAATTGATTTTATTTCTTAAATCGTAAAGAATTAGACAAAGTATCTTATATCATTTTGATAGTACTCGATGAGATCTATCCAACAAAATCCATCATGAATATATTTTTCAAAATTTTAAAAAATTTATGCAATTGGCCTGATCTTCCTAAAAGACGCTCTGGTCTTACTTGTGTGTTTTAGGAACAAGATCTGGAACAAAAACCAAAGGCCAAAGGCCAAAGACCAAAAACCGAATACCAAAGAGCAAAGAGCAGAGACCAAAGACTAAAGATCAAAGTGAAGAGCGAGCATGTGTGAGGACCAAAGACCAAAGACTAAAAAATCAAAGACCAAAGAACAGAGTGAAGGGTGAGCGTATGTGAAAAACAAGGACCAAAGACAAAAGGCCAAAGACCAAAAATCGCAGATTAAAGATTAAAGACCAAAGACCAGAGTGAAGAGTGAGCATGTGTGAGGAACAAATACCAAAGGACCAAAGCCCAAAGACCAAAAACCGAAGAGCAAAGACCAGAGTGAAGAACTAGCGTATGTCAAAAACAAAGACCAAAGGCCAAAAACAAAAAACCAAGGAGTAAAGATCAAAGACCAAAGAGCAAATACTAAAGTGAAAGAGCGAGCTTGTGTAAGTATCAAAGACCAAAAGACCAAAGGCCAAAAACTAAAAACCAAAGACCAAAGAGCAAAGACCAAAGACTAAAGAACAAAGAGTGCAGAGCATTAGCAAAGACCGAAAATCAAAGCCCAATGACTAGAGAGCAAAGACCAAAGGTTAAAGATAAAATGCCAAAGGCCAAAGACCAAGAATCAAAACCAAAGACCAAAGATCAAAGACCAGAGTGAACATCGAGCATATGTGGCGAGCATATCTGTGTGAGGAGAGGCCATGTGTGAGTTGCGGCAAATGCTCACGTAACTTTCTGCTAGCGTACTTTTCGGCCGCCTGCGCGGCCCTTCGAATATAAATTGGAAACTTTTTTTGGGGAAGATATCGGAGCGGACGTGTGTGAAGCGCGACCGTGTGTGAGTTGCGGCGGATGCTCACGTAGTTTTCGGCTAGCGTGCTTTTCGGCCGCCTGTGTGGCCCTTCGTATACAGATAGGAAACCTTTTTTTCATGGGAGATATCGGAGCGTGTGAGTGTGAGGAGCGGCGAATACTTCCCAGCAGATACACACGTAGCCTTCGGCTAGTGTGCTTTTTGGCCGCCTGTACGGCCCTTCGAATATAAATTGGAAATCTTTTTTCGGGGGAGATATTAGAGCGGGCGTGAGTGAGGAACGAGCTTGTGTGAGGAGTGGCAGATGCTCACATAGCATTCAGCTAGCGTGCTTTTCAGCCACCTAAGTGGCCCTTCGAATATAAATTGAAAACCTTTTTTTGGAGGAGATATTGGAGCGGGCATGTGTGAGGAGTGGGCGTGTGTGAGGAGCGGCCGTGTTTGAGTTACGGTAGTTGCTCATGTAGCACTCGGCTAGCGTGCTTTTCAGCCGCATGCGCAGCCCTTCGTATATAAATTAGAAACCTTTTTTCGGGAGAGATATCGGAGCGGGCGTGTGTGAGGAGCGTCAGTGCGTGAGAAGCGGCGGATACTTCGCGACAGATGCTCACGTATCCTTCAGCTAACATGTTTTTCGGCCGTGCCTTCGAATATAAATTGGAAATCTTTTTTCGGGAAAGATATCAGAGCGGGCGTGTGTGAGGAGCGGGCATGTGTGAGGAGCGGCAGATGCCCACATAGCCTTCGGCTAGCGTGCCTTTCGGCCGCCTGCGTGGCCTTTCGAATATAAATTGGACACTATTTTTAGGAGGAGATATCGGAGCAGACGTGTGTGAGGAGCGAGCGTGTGTGAGGGTCATTGCGTCTTTTAGGAAGACCAAGAGAAATACATGAAAGTTAAGACCTACAGCATTAAATAAAAAGACCAAACTGTTTGCACAAAATACTTGGAGCAACAAGTAAGACCAGAGTAACTTTTAGGAAGACTAATGTTATTTAATAAATTTTTTTATGTTTCAAAAAATATATTCATGAGAGATCTTGTTGGATAGATCTCATTAAGTACTATCAAAATGATATAAGACACTTGGTCTAATTCTTTATGAATTATGAAATTAAATCATTTGAAGATTAAAGGAAATTTTAAAACTCAAAAACCCAGTAAAAAAAAAGAGAGACACACCAAAATTTGGCGCATTAAATGCGCGATTGAAAGCTTCGCGTTGCGTAACAGCGCGTGAAGACTAATGTTATTTAATAAATTTTTTTATGTTTCAAAAAACATATTCACGAGAGATCTTGTTGGATAGATCTCATTAAGTACTATCAAAATAATATAAGACACTTGGTCTAATTCTTTATGGATTATGAAATAAAATCATTTGAAGATTAAAGAAAATTTTAAAACTCAAAAACCCAGTAAAAAAA